TGTGCTGGAGATGTGAATTGTGTTTCACTTACTTTGTACATCTGACCTAAACATGCTTGCAGTTTGTTGCGATTCCGATGAAAAATTCTTGGAAATAAATATAACTTGCGTAAACGAGGGGTGAACGCGAAAGTCATGTGACCGCGAAATCCCAACAGACTTGCCATCAGTGTAAGCGCCATTACCGGCCAGATTCGGGCTTGTAAAGGTTGACATGTCTAATATGTTTCAACCAATCAGAAGACAGGCTAATTAACATATCAACTGAGACCCCAACTTCGATAGCCAAGCCTCTAAACCAGCTCAGAGAACTGCCCAGCCCAGTGGACTTATAAGTCACCTTAAATAATAACGATTACATTCACAAATAAAGGTTATGAAAGAGAGCTTGAAATAATATATCAACAATACAATCGTATAGTTATAAAAATCCAGACGTACAACAAATTTCTTCTTTTGTAAAAGGCCTTTTCTATAAAAAGAACAAGTTTTCTTATTGGCCCTGAAAATAAACGAACCAGTATTTGTTCCCGTGATATGCCAGTTATTTCATTGAGAATTGAATCTAGATACTCATGCCTCATTTCATTGTATTGCTGACAGTCAAACAAAAAATGCATTTCGTCCTCAACAACGTTTGCATCACAAACGTTAAAGATTCGTTCACTTACAGGCTCGTGTCTAAATCGCCCAGTCCCAATACGGAGAGGCAAAATGCCCATGCGCAGTTGAGCTAATAGTGACTTTTGACCCCGACTTAAATTTATTAGCACGTACTTTTCTGGTTTATATTCAAATTTAAAAGTTTCATAGACACGTAACTTTGGTTTGTGACTAACATCTTCTGACCAAGATGACTCCGACCTCATCGCAATATTTTCTCTTAATGCATGTATATTTACGTCAATTAGGTGTTCATAATTTAAGTCGACGAGCTCCATAATTTGGTAAATCTCTGATGACCAATTATTATAATTTAGGGAGTGATCCCACAGAAATACTCGTTTAACTAGTCTATTGTCATCAAGTTCAGTAAGACGCTTCCACAGTCTAACCATATGGGTCCATCTCCGATCTCTGCATTAGACCCATCCAGTGTCACCTTTAACGGCCGGGAGTGGGGAAAACCTATGGGTGCCAAGAAAAAATCTTAAAGCCCTATTTTGAATCATTTCACACTTTTCAAATTTACTAAAACCCCAAACTCCGGAACAATAGTCAAGTATAGGCGCGACACTGGCATCATACAACTTTGTAAATGTGGAGAACTCAAGATTCTTGTGAGTTTTAAATTTAACGAATAACGCTCCTAACGCTCTACTTGCCGAGTCTGCTGCGATACCAGCAGTTACAGGATAATCAACGAATTCATCCAAAACAATCCCCAAATATTTATACTTATCGGTATAATCTAACACGTCATCACCAATGCAAAATTGGAATGCACTTCTAGCTTCACTGGCTTTTCTAAAATGTAACATTTTCGATTTCACATTATTAACCCTAATTTTCCATTTTTCACACCAACTATTTAAATGACTTAACATCATTTGCATATCAATTTCATTATCAGCTAACAACACGATATCATCAGCGTATAACAAAATACTAACATTAACGTTATTATCAAGAGTTATTCCTTTTTGTTTCAGGTTAATTTCAACTGCCAAATCGTTAATAAAGATGGAGAATAATGTAGGAGAAAGATTATCACACTGACGCACGCCTTGCTCAGTGTTAAACCAGTCTGTTTTAAAATCATTTAGTTTTACAGAAGAATTTGTGTCGCTATACATAGCTCGTATAGACTTGTACATTTTACCGTTAATTCCATTAATAAGTAATTTGTATAGCAATGCGTCTCTATCGACACTGTCGAACGCTTTTCGTAAATCAACGAAAGCGGCAATAGTTGATAAATCCTGGGATATTCTATTTCTGATAATAGATGTCAAAATATAAATGTGATCTTCGCAATTTCTATCCTTTCTGAAACCATTTTGCTATATAAACGTTTACATATATATTTATAAATGGTTCATCGAAAGGAAAATCGTTGTACATGGTTTGAACAATATAAATTTGACTCTGAAAAAAAACATAAAGATGAAAAATCCGCCCATGGTTTTGAAACCTGGGTAATCGTTCAGTGAAGTGTAAATAAAAAAGCAGTAAATAAAATAAAGTGACGTCACAGAACAAATATATATATATACATCAGTCTGTATATAAATTGAAGACCTGTTGCGGGGAAACTTGTATTGCCCTGTAACACAGTGATCGTGTCACTGAAACGCAGGTTTAATACTTC